ACATGGAACAGTAGGACTATGTGCATGAGAATTACTTTTGGACTTATTACTAAGCACACATTCATATTTGAAACCATTCAAGTGAATAAGTCATAATTGTAACAATTTCTCTGAGTTCACAATGAAAAGCGTGAATGGGAAGTTACATTGACAGCTGAGTATAAAGAAAGACAAAATATATTATATAATGGACACCTTCTGTTATCAAAATTAGTCTTACACAACCTACGCAATTGACTTCTTTTGTTACTCTGACTTAATCATACCTAATCAATGCCCTGTCCCCGTTCCTCTAATTTATCAAAGAGACCACTGATAGTATATTATGATGATGAAAAAGAAAAGAAATGGCAATTCTTTTTGAATAACTGGTTTTCCAACCCATAATTATAATCCTAGACTGATTTCTTTTCACCGGGCCTTCTCGGCAGTGGCCCCTCGCCTTTGGAACAGTCTACCCCCAGAGATCTGTCTGGCTCCCTCACTGGATGTTTTCAAGAGCAAACTTAAGACCTGGCTCTTTAGGCAGGCTTTCCCTCCTATCATCACTTGAATATTTTTTCCCCATCTTGAGCTATATTACTACTTTTTTATTATATTATATTATATTATATTATATTATATTATATTATATTATATTATATTATATTATATTATATTATATTATATTATATTATCTATTATTGTTAGCTGCCCAGAGTAGACTTTGGTCTAGATGGGCAGGGTATAAATTTAATAATTAAATAAATTTCAGAAATCAAAGCATGCTGTAACACACCTCATTTCTCTCCCACCATCCATAGTTTTCAAGACCTTCCAAAGCAAACTTCTGAGATCGCCTCACAACAAAGTAGATGAGATAACCACTCCCAGCCAAAGTGCACAAGGCAAAGAAATTAGCAAGAACTCTCAGGAATCGGGTCAAATGGATGTTCTCATCCCTCCGGCTTTCTTGTTCCTCCACAATGGCTTCCTGCATTAGAAACAAAGAAGAAAAAGAAGAAAATCATGGTAGGCAAGTGGACTGAGAACCACTGCAGCATCCTGATTATCTGGGACAGGATATTTCCAAAACCATCTTCTTCTGCATAAGTCTGTTTGCTCACCATGTTAATTATTAAAGGCCTGTTCCATGTCACTTTACCGCCAGGAATTTGGGTGGCTGAGAGTTGCACCAAAATAACAAAAATCCCTCCCATGAAAAAAACAGTTGTCAAGTGTTGGGAATCCTCTAACTCTGCACCTATGGACAGAACTCAGTGTCTGATATTATTTCTAGTAAATTGTTACTATTTTTACATGTATCACTTTAAAAAATTACACACTGCTTTTTCATTAACTAAGAAGCATCTGGATGCCGATATTTTGATATTACTAGAATTAGACAGCTTTATCAGATGAATCCACCCAAGGGTTTTGTGGTTTTAACTGATTTGTACTACGCACAAAAACAGGCCTTCATAAGTTTCTGATGTGACATGACCAAATCCAAAACTGCCTTTTTTGGATGCATGGTGTTCGAGACTTTAATCTTTTGCACACCATCAGAAAGGAGCTTTCTGGGCATATCTCTCTGTGTATGTGTGTGTTGTTGTTGTTGTGATAACAATAACATCATAACTAAAAACACACACACACACAACTGGGATTGAACAATTGGATTGTCCACTATTTCAATATGTCGCTCCAATAAGAAACAAGCTAGAAGATACATGCCATTACAAGAAGAGCTTCCCTAAGAGGAAAAGACTACCTGTTACTCTAGCACAAACCACCTCCATCATTTAGCCTGATTGTGTTTTGCATTTCGTTAACAGGTTTTGCCAATGACTTAGCAAGGCAAAGTAGGCTCACCAAAAGGAAAAGGAAGCGGGGAAAATGGCTTTAAATCAGTCATCATTTTAGAATGCATATTATAATTCCAGAAGTTGCTAACTAGACCTATTGTCTGCCTTTCAAGAGGAAGTGGCTAGTGAGTTGCAACAGTATTGATTTGACAACATCACTTTTATACTTTTGTAAGCTCTTTCAATGATACCATATCCATGCTCAAATTGTGCAAGCAGTGGGTCATATATTACCTTAAAGCTAGTTGTTATTGATGCAAACTTGTTATCGGCTGTTTCAGGGTTGCCAATCAAGTAATCCCAGCTGGTGAACATTTTCCAGCTGAAGTTAAAACTTGTGTCATCTCCCCCACCATCGTCATGCGCATTCTTTGCCATTCTGAAAAACATGAAAGGCAAGGATTCTATCATGGCAGAAATGTCGGGTTAAAGTTTTGAAAACATGCTAGAAGAAATGAAGATGGGGGGGGTGGCTATGTTCCGCTTTAGTTTACAAGCCCAGTTAAAGCACTGCAGTTAGTTAATGATCTGCCCATTACTAGTTATTTCATCAATACAGTTAATTACATGTGCATATCAATATCATCTCTAACTCTCGCATGACAATCACAGTCAAAGTTCCTAAAGTTGGCAGCTCCAATAGGGTGGTTTCATTTGGCCTGTGCCTTCCTCTTTTGGTTAAAGCCAACATATCAGCCAGTCCACAAAGGGCTCCACAGAGGGCCCTTTGCTCCTCCACCCCCAAAACTGCCCTATCTCAACTTAAACTTTAGTTATTTAATCTACAACAGGGCAAGCAGCCATGGAAGGTCTGATGGCTAACCTTACCCCCCTCACCTATCCCCTGGACCTCCAGTAATGGGAAGCTCACATACAATTTTGAAAAGAAAGCTATCGCCGGAAGAAAAACAATACAAGAGGGATACAGCTGAAACAACCAAGAGTTCCCTCGGAGGCCAGAGTTGTCCATTTCTAGCTAAGATTTTTGGCAGGGAAGTCTCGGGGGGGGGGGACCCTTGGAGTTGAATCTGTGGTCTTCTGCCTGTGAAGTAGGTGATTTATTGCACTAAGTCATTATCCTTACAGAATGCACAGTACTGAACATCAGGACTTGTAGCTTTAGACATTGCTTATTTGCAATAGTAAGCAGTATTTAGGGATATATGTGGCCAAATTACTGTATGTCTTTCGTTTTGAATTCTTTGGTGAGTGCCTTATATGGTGTGTGTGTGTGTGTGTGTGTGTGTGTGTGTGTGTGTGTGTGTGTGTGTTAGACCTTTTGTTTAACACGAAAGGGAAAGCCCCTTTTGGGTTCTTCTGTTCAAGTTTTCCATTTGTGCTTTCTGGCACTATTAAACTATAATAGTGCACTATAGAACTCTTAAAAACAACTCAAAAAAAGCAGAGGCAAGGCAACAGAGAATTAATCTACTCCAAAAGCAGGTAGCAGAATACAAGCAAGAAAAATAATAATCAAACCTATGCTGACACTAGTTTATAGCAAAAGAAAGCCTCTAGCAGTACTCAATACCCAGTGAACAGGCCACATGAAAATATATCTTTAGCCAAGATATTCCCCATACAGAGCAAAGACATGCCTCACTCACTCACTCACCAAACAATTCAAATAACTGTAAAGAACAAAAAAAAATGGAAAAAAGAAAACAAAAATATGAGTTCAATGATATCCACATAGCACAATAGAGACCCCATGGCCCTTGACAGCACAATAGGGAAAAAGGAAAAGGAAAAGGAAAAAAAAGACAAGGAAGTAGCCAGCCAGCTGTGCACTGGCTGGTTGACCTGCACCACAACAAACAATAACATAAAATAGCCCCCAAAAGCCCTCACCAAAACAATCACTGTTAGCAGAATAAATGCATAGCAAATAAACAAAATAACATTTAAAAATAATCAGTCAAACACTCTCCATACAGGGGGAAAACACACACATGGACACACAAATACCTCCCACCCCCCAAAAAACCCACAAGAAAAGCAAGCAAGCAAATAAAGGCCAAAAACTATGACAATGTGCCTTCCAAACCCTACTAGAATATGGGCAGATTTCTCTTCCACCTACCACTTATTGCCTTTTCTTGTCTTCTTTTCTTTGAATCCAGCAGGCAGCAACAAAAATAACCCAAAGAAAAGAAAGGTGGGGAAATCCTCCAAAAAAATATTAAACTATGACGATGTGCCTTCCAAATCCTACTAGAATATCGGCAGATTCCTCTTCCACCTACCACTTATTGTCTTTTCTTGTCTTCTTTTCTTTGAATCCAGCAGGCAGCAACAAAAATAACCCAAAGAAATAGGGGGTGGGGGAATCCTCCAAAAAAATATTAAAAGCAAATAAAAGAAAGGATTCAAAACAGGTACAGGCAGGCAGGCAGGCAGTGAAATCAATCCAAGATGTAGGGCACCAGGACTCAGCAGCACACAGTAATCCCACCCATAGGAACAACTGAGGCAAAAGAGCACTCCTCGCTGTGTTCCAACCAATTCAGGCCTTTTTTACAGATTCCCGTCTCCTTTGGAAATTCTGATTGGTTGCTGACAGCAGCCCAGGCAATGCTATTGGATGAAAAAGGCTTCCTGGGTGATTTGCCATACAAAGGATGAAAGAAAGGTTAGATGAAAGCGAGAAACACAATAGAACACAAAACTTCAGTGTAACCTCTTTTGCTAATACAAACCATTCATGTTTTAGAACTCCATTTCAGGAATCATGAAACCACCTCCATAATAATCTTACAGTGGTGCCTCGCATAACGAGCACACCATTTAAAGACGAATCCGCATAGCAACCTAGTTTTTTAGATCGCTAATGCGATCACATTGTGATGTTTTAATGGGTAAAACATTGCATTGTGATGATCGGTAAGCGTTTCGCTTACCGATCTTCGCATTGCGATGTTCCTAGAACAGCTGATCAGCGGTTCCAAAATGGCCACCAGATGCCTAAAATGGCCATTGCAAGTGTTTTCGCGCCCTGCCCTCGCTTACTGAGGGTGCGAAAATGGTGGCGCTATGGAGGAACTTCGCTGAACGGTGAGTTTGGGCCCCATAGGAATGCATTAAATGAAGTTTAATGCATTCCTATGGCTTTTTCCCTTCCGTTTAGCGATGTTTCCTCATAGCGACAATTAATCTGGTACGGATTAACATCGCTATGTGGGGCACCACTGTATTTCATCTTTTTCCCCTGTCAGTAAAACATGAAAGGCCTATCCATAGCACCAGGCCACCTCAAATATCATTAACATTAACCTGGATTGTTCAGGGGGGAATGATGAGACCTTACAAACCTGGATTGAGAGACATTTTAAGCTATGGAAATAAATTAATGTCAGATTTAAAGTATCATGGGAATAACTAGTTATGCTAAAGGGTACAGAAATGAAGCAGGGACTGAAATGATGAGGCTTTCCTTGGGATTAGAACTCAGTGACATTTGATTTTTTAGAAGACATAGTTAAAATTGTTACTGGTTATTTGTAATTAAATCCTTTTTGAAGTAACTAAAGCAAAGGTAAATTGCATGGCACTTATCACTCAGTAAGAGAAAACTTTGCTTCTTTCATGGTGAAACTGCAACTTTGTACTACTACATTCTTATGGCATGTGGCTTACCTAAACAGAAGAAGGTTGTCATATAGCTGCTCTGTTGTAGGTGTTAAGTTGACAATGGGGTGAGTAGTAGGAGAATGTATTGTGTACCAGCAGCCTGTAGCATTCAAGAGTAACTAAAGCAATTGTGTAACTAAAGTTATTTTCATTACTTTTAAGTAATGGGAAAGCAAAATATGCCTTTTAAAAATATTACTAGCATAATAACTAGCTGCTTTTTGGGATGCTTGTAAACTTCATGGTAACTAATTTATTTTTTTAAAAAAATTATTCTCTTCTGATTAGCAGAACTCTAGTGTCAATGTGTTTCAGAATCAGAAGCAATGGTATAATAAAGCCAGAGGTCACAAGTTGAAGGACTTGGACTTTTTGATTAGTAGGAACAGTGACATCATACACGCCTATGCAAGGTCCCCTGTTCTCTCTGAGCAAGGCTGAAATCTTCATAATGGCTGATGGGGCAACTGATCTTCCAGCAACAATATATTTTATTAGCTATCCATTTTGTAGTGCAAAATATCCTTGGGTGGCTTGTTCTGGGACAGGTAATTAAGAACCAAAATGTTTACAAAGCACCTGCTCTTGGTGGAGATGAAAACTGCTAGAGATCAGGCGCTGAGATGTATTTTTCAGTTTTCCTTTAGGCATGGCAATGGGGGATGTGACGTTTACCACGTGACCCTTGCTTCACCAAACAAAGGCTCACGCCGTTCTCTCACCAGCAGATATCAATGGAAAAGTTACTTCTCTTTCTCACTGCCACCAGTGGATTTCTGTTATCCACAACAAAAAAGACTATATTCAACAAAAAATACTTTATTGCTGCCAACAGAATTGATTTATTGAAGTGTATTAAATTATATTGGAATCACAGATGTTATTTATTCATTTCATACAATCAAATCAATATCATATATCTTTGGCCACCACCTGCTCTATCTATGTATCTGTTTCTCTGTACCAGCTTGTCTCTATCGCTCGTCTTTTTATCTCTCTATCCCTCTATCTCTCTCGATCTTCTTCCCAACTATCTTATTTCCAACTGCTATCTTCCATTCTCTAACTGCCACTCTCACTCTGCCACACCTTCTTGTATTTGCTGACTCCGCCCTTCCACTCCTCCCATAGGCTCATGCAAATGAGATCTGGACATGAGTGACATGAGTGACACGAGGACGATCGTCACAGGGGACTATCATGATGATCACCTGTACTTCAGAATTTAATATTATGCCATTGGTCCTAAGCAAAGTACATAATTTTTCTCTCCTTTTCTATGACTCTCTGTTTAGCATAGGGATGGAAAAATATCTGGTCTTCCAGATGACAGTGGATGATCCAGCATAGCCAATGGAGAAGGCTGATGGGAATTGCAGGTCATTTCCACTTGGAATGCCACATGTTTCTTGTCACTAGCCTGGGGGAACACATGTCATCTCAAGATGATCCAGTGCATGAGATGCCAGATGCCCATGCTCCCTGGCACACATGTGCACACACATACAGCATTCCTCCCATAAAGGGAATAACAGTCTAGTCGAGATTATTCTTCTTGTAGAGGATTTGAACCCTACAAAGGACCTCTTTTTATCAAAGCTAAATGTGTGACTCCACTGGGCTTGTAGAAATGCTTAAGGAACATGATCTGTGTGGTTTTTTATGATCTGACATAATCTGTTCTGCAGTCCCTAGACTAATGTGTACCTTCTAACATTATTATTCTTCAGCTATCACACTTCTTGCAGATTTCGCACTTTGCCAGCTGGAATCTTTTTTATATTCTCTCTCTTTCTTTCTTTCTCTCTCTCTCTCATGAAAGTAAATAGCACTTTCATGAAAAATATTTGTGGGATAATGCATGAGGTAAATTAAGCTCATTATGGAACACAGAAAGCTGCCTGAGACCAAATCAGACCGTTGGTCCATGTAACTGAGTATTGGCTACACTGATTGACAGACGTTCTCTGGGGACTTAGAAAGAGAAGCTTCGAAGCCTTATCTGTATAGAACATGGAACTGACGGTGGAAGTAACCACACATAAAGGATAAGAAGCATGAGCTTGACTGCTGACTGGTGGCCTTCATTTTTTCACATTCAAACTGAACATGTAAGCCAGTTCCTGGAACAAGAGTGGGCAAAACCTAGACCTCCAGATGTTGAACTGCAGCTCCCAGCATTCCTCCTCATCTGCTATGTTGTTTGGGGCGATTGGACGTTGCTCCCCAGCAACACCAAAGGGACCACCCTTGTCCTGCAGCTTCAGATTCCATACAGACTGTAATTATGTCTGATATATTTAGACATTCTAAAGTTCTAAAGCAGTGGTGTCCAACCTTGGCCCTCCAGATGTTCTTAGACTACACCTCCCAGAAGCCTTCACCACCACCTCTGCTGTCCTGCAGCTTCAGATTCCATATAGACTGTAATTATGTCTGATATATTTAGGCATTCTAAAGTTCGGTGTGGGGCACCACAACCAGCTACAGAATGCTGGCCCAAAGGAGCAAGAGGACATTCTCCTTAATTCACACTTAGATAAACCAACCACTGTTCTAAGGGGTATGGGGCACCACAACCAGCTACACAATGCTGGTCCAAAGGAGCAATTCTCCTTAATTCACACTTAGATAAACCAAAGGGAGACTAGGCTGTGTGTGCAGGATTTTCAGAAGAAAGCACAAGTTTAGTTTCTACCATAATGCATTAATTCTCTCTTTTTCCCACTCCTTGTTACTCATGCTTGAAAACAACTGCATAAGCAAGCAGGAGCTGACCATTGCATTTGCACAGTTAGCTATTTACAATACACTGTGATAGATGCACTCAGATTCTTCATCATACATTCCTGGCTTCCCTCTGCTCAAATCCAGTTGTTACTCGACCCTGTGCTGGATGGAAAGCTTTACTAAAATGAAGTGAAATGAAAGAATGCTGACATTACTGTTATTTATTTTTATTTATTTATTTGCCCATTTATTTCACACTTCTTAGCGGCAGAGAAAATGTGATGCTATTTTATTCAAGTTTCTTTTCCCATATCTTCTAGATGGTGGAAATGTTTCTTGCATGAATAAATAAATGTTAGATTTAAAATGCTAAATAAAATAACTGAGGGTTTCCAGTACTCCTCGATCCTGCTGTTGAAGGAGCAGAGAAAATATATTAACTGCAATCAGATTCAGAAAAAGCATCTCACCAGTTGGTCTAGTTTTTTCTTTTTGTTCTGTTTGCTTCTCCTTTTCACACAGCTTCTAGCTGAAGGCAGGGAATTTTTAAAATCTGAATCTTAAACTTTACTTTACTTTATTTAGATTTATACCCCGGCCCTCTAGACAAAGTCTACTCTAAACTTTAGAGATCTTTGTTTTTACAGTATGTGCCATCAAGCTGCATCTGACCTATGGTGACCTTAATAGGGTTTTTCAGGCATCTTAGATTTTCAAGGAGTGTTTTTCCATTGCCACCCTTGTGTGTGTTTCCATCAGATATTTGATTCCAGGTTTCTTGGTTCCTACTCCGACTCTATCTACTATACCACACTGGTTGTCTTAGAGGTGTAATGGGAGTCTTTTTAAAAACAAAAAAGCCCCTTTTATTTAGAGCTGAGTTTATATGATCAGCTGGTGGCTGAGCAGCTCCAGGCTCTCCTGGATGAAATGGAGTATCTAGATCCATTTCAATTGGGTTTCAGGCCGGGTTATGGGACAGAGACTGCCTTGGTTGCCCTGTTTGATGACCTTTGCCGGGAGAAACACAGGGGTAATGCATCCCTGTTGATTCTCCTGGACCTCTCAGCGGCTTTCGACACAATCGACCATGGTGTCCTTCTGGACAGATTGGCTGGGATAGGAATGGGAGGCACTGTTTTACAGTGGTTCCACTCCTACCTGGCTGATCAAGTCCATAAGATGGTGCTGGGGGACAGCAGCTCTGATCTATGGCGGTTGCGCCATGGAGTTCCTCGGGGCTCTATACTGTCCCCCCATGCTATTCAATAGCTACATGAAACCACTGGGGGATGTCGTTAGGAG